TTCTGAAATGACCGCGATGCGATAACTATATCGGAGTAGTATATCAGATATAACTATAATGTAATGATGCCTTTTTTTTTTTTTTTTTTTTTTTTTTCTTTTCCTCCTATGTTAAAACTATTAAAGCATCGTCAATCTTTATTCAACTTATCACGATAATGTCCTCCAATTTTTTCCAATTAGCCCAAAACATTATAAACGATTTGGTGGATTGCTTGCCATTGGATTACGACTCTTCAAATGAGTTAGGATCGATTAATATAGAACGTTTAAGTGATCTACAAAGATTGTCTGAGAAAAACTTACAAAGTAATGATAATATATCATATAAGAAAAGATATAAAGAAAATAATCCAAGTGATGGAAGCGATGATGAATTTACTAGTCAAAGTAATTCGAACCTTTCTAACGTTTCTAACAATACTTGTCAAGATGTATTACCGCAAAACACGGAAATTCAAGAAATATGCGAAATCGGAATAACTACACCAGGATGGTTGCAACATGCTAAAAGTGAATTTCGTGAAACTCAGAACAAAAGAGACGCATTGGGATTACATGTACTGGCAATTGCAAGAGCGCAAGAGTGTAGCCGTGCACTACGATTGCTGCATTCGAGACTTTCTTGGAATAATAATAATAATAATAATAATAGTGGCTCATTAATGAGTATTTGTAATCATTATATCGATAAAAGTTCCCTTACCCAAAATGTGACAAATACCCAGGGAACCGGACGGAATATCAATTTAATTACCTCAAGGTAAAATAAATAAATACATACACATAAGATCACTTAACATATTAATATAATTTACCTATTAATTTAGAAGAATGATTATTTCAAGTGATAATTCAGTGGATAATATCCAAGTTCAGCAGAATAATGTTAAGACTGTAAATGTAACTCCTATCTCGAGATGGGAAGACCAACTCTCATCTGAATTATCTACTAATAATGATGATGGTGGTAAAACTTCTCCATTATTTTCCGGAGGAAGTGATGGTTCGTTACCTTTCGTAGATAGTCTTACATTTGAAGGAAAATCTTCCATTAATACGGGAGGAAAATCATTTCTTTCTCGGCCAATAGGTGGGAAAGTGCGTTCAGCTTTGAAAATGTATTATAAATATTTCTTGAGTAAGAATGGGAACGACGAGGAAGAGTCGATTTCTATGGATTCTTTATCAGATCAACATAAAGATTTTGGTGATGTAAGTAACTTCATGCAAGCAACGAATCATGACGAATATGAGACAGAGTGCGAAGAGGAAGAAGTAATTTTGACTTCTCAACAAGATTTATCGGATCAACATAAAGATTCTGGTGATGTAGATAGATTCATGCAAGAAACGAATCGTGACGAATATGAGACAGAGTGCGAAGAGGAAGAAGTAATTATGACTTCACAACAAGTTTTATTTCAGCAACAACACGAAGATTTTGACAATAATTTCACTTGCGCTCGTCGCAGTTACAAAAACAATCCTAATGAGAATGACGAAATTCAACTCGAATACGAGACAGAGTGTGAGGAAGAAGAAGTAATTTTGACATCTCAGCAAAAATTATTTCAGCAAACCACGAGAATATATATTAAGCAACAACACGAATTCTTTAACAATAATAGCACGTGCGCTTCTAGCAGTCACAAAAACAATCCTAACGATAATAATAAATATTTAAATTTTATGAACAATAGTCCTTCCAATAATCGTAATCGTGAGGGTTTAATTGACACATGCGATTATTTCGAGGAAGAATGGGACACAATGCTAATAGGACAAACAGCAGCGTGTTTTTTAAAGGAAAATGAAAGTAAAGATAACGAAATTTTCAGATTATGAGCAATGATAATATTCAAAAACAAAATTCACATTAAATTCTTATTTGATAATGAACAACAACAACAACAATCGACTTATAAATCATATTTCACTTTAGCGATGGATTACAATAATGTTTCAATGCCCTCAATTTCTACATTACTTGCTGATAATGAAATGCCGTTAGATTTTATCTAGGATATCAATGAAAGAGCGAAAAATATAGCTAGAAATAATGAGAGAGTTAGAATGTTACATTCTTTTAATGTAATTGGTTTTAATCGCGCTAATCAAAGATGATTCAATTAATAATTTCGATGTATGCACGTTTATTTTAATTTTATTTTTTCATTCTTAAATTTTGATCATCTTGTGTATTTTAAAGTGTTATAGTTTATCCGCATTTTATTGATTATCATTGCATACATATCGCTCACATCCTTGATTTCTAATTGGATGGACATTACGGGTCTTCAAATTAATAACATAAATCTTGTTGAGAAGTTTAAAGGATCAATATTTATACACGGTGTAAAATTTTTTTTTTTTTTTTATCATTAATTTAATTTACCAGAAAATAATTCTCAAATTCTTATCTTAGATTATTGAAGTTGATATCTTGAAGTTTGGAAGCCTTGAATCCATTAATTTAACTAAAACCAAAGTTAATCTTATTAATATTATCAATGGATGGAACTGATTTTTAGAAGTCGAATTTTCTTGAAGTTGAGAAATTTGTAACTCTTTAGATGAAAGTTAGTTATATTTTATAAACAGGAATTAGTCCATAAAAAATTAAAAATTGTATTGGTTACATCGTAGATCAACATTTTCGATTGAAATTAAAATTTACACTACTTAATAATTTGTCACAAATTTTTTTTTTAGAAAGAAAAAAATTACTAATTGCATATTTTTTATAATCACATTAATGTTGAGATATGTGAATCACATTCAAAATAAATTATATAATTACACGGTTATTACACTTTGTCCGTGGAGTAATTTGTCACGGAGAGAGTTTATTTAAACTTGGACCATGATATTACAATATAAGCTATTACTTATATAAAAATACATTAAAAAAGTTTAATAATTTAGCATATATGTTAATTATTTATTAATTATTATATATAATTAATATAAAAGAATAATTATTAAATGTATTTTCTTTAAAAATACGTTGGAAGTGAGAGATCAGTTGTCATTAATTGACTCTCAATCAATTCTTATGTGCAGAATCGTTTTGCAATTCTAAATATATGAATGTTATTTTCTTTATAAAAATATGTAACGATAAAGTAAATAAATAAAGAACCTTGATTATATGCATTGAAATTTTCAATTTCTTCAATTTTTCCATTTAAATTTACACGATACGGACATGCTTATATCACCATGTCGATCATTTTACCGATCATATATAATTGAATTATCACACTATATAAAATCAGCCGATCTAAAATTCAAAGCTTCGGACGAAACAACATATGATCGGGCGAACATTACAAATTATAAAATTAGATAAGATATTTTGGATTATGTATAATATATTTCTAAAACAATAAATCAAGATCAAATATTTTACATAAGTTAGCTTAGGGCTGAAATAATTAATTAATATTTTAGATTTCAAAGGTTTGGGCAAAGTCACATATGCAAGGGTGAACTATCCCCACCATTATATTTCATATTTTAAGATATGTAGAAAATAATATAAAATTATTACAATAAAAATTTAAACAACACAAAAGTTAGCTTTGAGACAACTTTTTGAATATTTTATATATTAATCATATGTTATTAAAAATTTTAATTATTTAGCTTCAAAGAATTGAGCAGAGCCACATATGCATGGGCGAACTGTGCCAACCATTATATTTTCCTAGTTTAGGTTTTATAAATATATTATAAAAGTATTACAATAAAATTTTGAATATTTCATGTTATTATAATTATATTAATTTTGGCAAAATGTTGCTTCTAGTATAACTTACCCAATAATAATTATATTTCGATAAAATTGACTAAATAATAAAATAATTTTTTATTATAATAAAAAAAGGTTTTAAAAGGTTTTTATTAATGAAAATTTGGATTTTAGCATAATAAAAAAAAATAAAAAAAAATGCATTTGTATTGAGATTAAACGAGAAAGAAAAAAGAATAATATTTAAAATAATATTTTATAATAATCAGGGGGGCCGAATAATTATATCGTAACTTCACGGGTAATCGCCGATAACTCCACAGTTACTATAGCAATGCATTGATTGCCACTTCAAAATATCCAGCTTACCGTGAATTGTGTAGTAATCTCTGATAACCCGTGAAGTTACTATGAAAACAAAATCGTAACCTTCATTTTCTCAACAGCCAGAAGTAATTTACCATTTCAGAGTTCTTTGTGACAACAAAATTCATTTGAAAATCGATTGCTCTCATATTTAAAGACTACCATTCGAACCATCACATCAAGAGGAAATCCAATGGTACTAATTTTATTTTTATGATCCTGCATGGCGGATTAAAATGTTTTAGTTATAATATGAATAATATGCAAGGTTAGATTGAAGCATATATTTATGCAGACGGAAACTATGCAAATATTTATTAAATAATAAAATATATGTATATTATGTTCCTCTTTTAGAATATAAAAATAATTTTTAAATAATTTATTATCATTTTTCATTCATCGCATTAAAAAAGCTAACCCCATTATTTTCGCCAGGTCTGTCTTCGTTATTCAAGTTGTTAATCTACAACTTTAAATTTTTCAGAAAATTCGTCTCAAGTCTAAATCTTCACTTCTTAAATCTGACAATAAATTACAAAATATCAATGTATGTGAATAGAGGAAAAAGGAATTGCAATAAGGGCGTATATTTCGGAAATTCTTGTGGGACAGGTTTACAACTGTTACATTGATTTGTCAATTTTAATTTCACGCGAAAAGATGTATTGCTAAGCTTGGAAATGATCATACAATTTATAAATTAAGCTTTACCTAATTCGACTCACAAATGTTATTTAAAATGATCGAACAAAAAAATCACTTTTAATTACATAAATAGAAAGCGAATATGAACAGTTTATAATATATATATTGTATCATATTTTTTTTTTATTTTTTACAAAAAAAAGAAAAAAAAATTAAAATTACTGATAACATGTCAAGTATTATAACAAACGAAGTGCAAACCAAAAATGCATTGGGAGAATGGATCGAAAATGCTATTAAAGATGAATTTATTGAATATTATGAATATAATGTTTTTAGTAGTACAACCAAGGTTGGAGAAGGAGGATTTGGTAAGGTTTATAAAGCAATTTGGAAAAATACTTCCAACATATTTGCCCTGAAATCATTTGGCCTCGGCAACGTCACAATAAAGGAAGTTGTAAACGAAGTAAGTTGAATTTATTATTTTTAATATTATTATTTCGAGTCAATTAATTAATTATTTTTATAAAAAAATTGATTAGTTAAAATTAATGCGAAAAGTTGATTTCCATCCGAATATCATTAAATTCTACGGTATCACCAAAACAGAAGGTAAAGTTTATCTTAACTATCTAATCGGATAGGAATATTGTTATAAATAATTTTTTTAAAAACAAATTTAGATAAAAAGAATAAAAACACATTCAAGTATTTACTCGTAATGGAGTATGCCGATGGTGGTACCTTACGAAGTTATTTACAGAAAAACTTTTCAACCATTGAATGGGATCTCAAGTTAAAATTCGCTACACAAATTTCCGATGCCATCTTGTGCTTGCACGAAAAAGATATTATTCACCGTGATCTCGTAAATAAATATTTATTAATTTTAATTTTAATTTTAGGTATTTATAAATGATAAAATTCTAACATATATTTTTTTCATATACGAAACAGCATTCGAATAATGTATTGGTTCATCAAAAATCAATTAAATTAACCGATTTTGGACTTTCTAAGCGAATAAATGAAACCACCAGTTCTGTAAATCAAATCTCGGGAATTTTGCCATATATTGATCCTCAATGTTTCAAACAAAATTTATATAAACGTAGTAAGAAGTCAGATGTTTATAGTGTTGGTATACTGTTATGGGAACTTACTAGCGGAAGAACTCCATTCGGTTTAGATGAAAATCAGTTCACTTTAGCCATAGAAATTGCTGAAGGACGTCGGGAAGATGCAATTCCTAATACACCTGACGAATACGTTCATATATATAAAGGTAAATATTAAATTATATTACGTACGCGTGTATGTATATAATATATATATATATATTTGTGTTTTTTATTTTTTATTTTTATTTTTATTTTTAAAAAAAAAAAAAATGTTTTAATTTATTTATTTAGAATGTTGGGATAATGACCCTGATAAAAGACCCGATATACAAAAAGTTTTTGGAAGATTAAGTGCGATGAGTGAAAAGAAAGAGCATCTCTTGGAAGAAATACCTGTTACCACCAACAATGATATTGATGTGACTTTGGCACATTCAAATTCAATGAATTCAAATAATTTGTCTTTATTATTAAAATTTGATCAATTAGTTGAAGGTTATGACGAGGATTCAGAATCGAAGGGAAATGAAAAGCAAGAACCAACTAATGAAGGTTCATACGATTTAAATTCTGCGGATAATTCAACAGAGAATAACGAAAATTATGACGAGGATTCAGAATCGAATGGAAATGAAAAGCAAGAACCAAATAATGAAGGTTCATACGATTTAAATTCTTCGGATAATTCAACAGCGAATAACGAAAATGAAAAGCAAGAACCAACTAATGAAGGTTCATACGATTTAAATTCTTCGGATGATTCAACAGAGAATAACGAAAATGAACATGACCTTGCTTCACTTTCGGATGAATTATATGATTATCTTTTTGACCAAATTGATGATGAGTATGAAGACCTTGTTGAAGAGATCACAAATATCGTTACGGAGAATGATACTACTTTAGAAGAAATGTTTGAGTGGCTTGAACAACATCAAACGAATTCAAGGTTCATTTGTTTACTTGGTTTCTTTTATTATAATGGAATGGTAGTAGATATGAATTATGTAAAGGCCAACAAATTATTCCGTAAATCAATCAAGAAAGATGATGCTTTATCAATGTATTTTCTTGCTAATTCATATGAATCTGCATGGGGTTGTGAAATTAATGTTGAATTATCAATGAAATATTATGAAAAAGCTGCAAATAACGGGGTAATACCAGCATATAATATTCTAGCCAATTATTATCATGAGAATGAGAATGATATTAAAGCTTTTGAGTATTATAAAAAAGGCGCCGAAAATGATGAGCCCTATTCTCAATATTGTTTAGGAGATTATTTTGAGAATGGAATTGGAACTCTTGAAGATCAAGATCAGGCTATGTTCTGGTACAAAAAAGCTGCCAAAAATGGATCTCCTGAAGCCAAAGAAAGATTATATGAATTATATGAAACGTTGTTCGCGTAATATTTATCAAAACCATTCAAAATTTTAGCAAGTTTCTCGAGAACTAGATTGGTTAATTTGTTTGTTTGTAATTTAACCTTTATTTTTTTTTTTTTTTTTGAAAAAAAAAAAGTGTTGTTATATATAGAATTTGAATTATTAATTTTAGCCAAAGTTAATTTTTTTTTTATGGGAACCGTAATTTTTCCTCACCATTAACTAACTAATGCATAATTTATTATAACAATAAAATATTTTAAACTAAAAAATATTAAAAGAATAGATTTTGGTTTCCTAAATAAAAGAAATAGATCCTTTAACTTTAAATATGATGAGAAATCTTGGTAGAGTAGCCTATTCGAGGGAAAAAAAAGAAGTTAATACATTTATTACCAATTTTAAAGGATAACATACTTTGTTATATACCTCATTGTTATCGATAACTAAAATTTCAGCTTCCTGAGCATTCACAACGTCCACAACAAACATCGTAAATAAATTTTCATTTCCATGACGACAATATTCCAATGAAATTCTAGCATTCTTTGCAAACCATAATTTTCCTGGCATAAAATAATTAAAAATTAATAATAAAAATAATAATAATGATAATAAAATGGGATTATTAAAACATATTTATATATACATATATAAAAGAATAGAGATTTTAATGATCGTAAACCTACGTGGATTTTGTCTTGAAACTTCTTTCAGCATCCCTTTTTGAATAATACCGCACATGCCACAACTTTCCGCACAAAATTTTTGATCATCATTCCACAAGTTTTCCGTACTACATGCATAATAAGTTCCATGAAACATTCTATGGACTACCATATTTCCATCTTTTGCATGACTCTCTGCGATTAACTGTTTATATTCCAAAAATTTTTCTGTTATCTTTTTAGACATTTGTAATCTTAAAATAAACTTGATTTCTGCATTATTATGAATTGTGGAATCGAATCGTGTCTTAACGCGATCATAATCAGGATCATTTTCGGAAAGAAGCGTTAATTTTGAGGTAGTAAGAGTATGAATTTCTTCCCAAAAACAATTGGAAGTACAATAAGTGAAATATTTTCCGGAATTATTTGGATCAGTTGATCTTGGAGAGTTACAGTTTTTTCGACCACAAGAAAAAGAGCTTTCGGTAGAATTTCCTTTATTTATGGGAAAGGTTTTACCATTTCCAAGTGATCCAGAATTCTTTAATGGGGATAAATCCTGCGTGAAATTGGCAGTAGAAGTATTGATGGTAGTGACCTCTAGATTTTCAACAGTGTTAGGAACTACGTTGACAGTTGGAATTACACCTTCGTTCCTAATTGTGGGAAATACTTTTAAGGGAGTAGGACTTTCGTTTACATTATCACGATTTTTATGTATAAAACAAGAAAAGCAAGAAAGCAAAGAAGATTTCATTGTTAAGCCAGGAAATTTATTATGAGAACTTGATCAGAACGAAATGGAAAAAAAAATTTTTATTTTGCTAATATAAATGATTTTTTAAACTTCTATTACAATACAAAGTATAATATATGTTATCAGTAAGTTTATTTTATTGTAACGATATGTGATATGCCGTGCCGATCAATTACCGAAGAAAATGTTACCTGTTTATTCGGTATCGTCATTTATTCGCTCTATAATACGAAAAAAAAAGACCTAATAATCGCAGTCAAAGAAAACAATGAAGTATGCTACTGCGCCACTTAAATAAAAGTGGGCATCCTTAAAATGTACCCGGGTATAGTCTTTCTTATCCCTCCATATATAAATAAAATTTTTTTTTAAACTAATCATCACGTGACAATCAAAGTTGCAGAACAGGTTAAGAGCCTATACCCCCTCTTGAAATTTTCAATTTAAATATCCGTGATCCTCATTTTGATATGATAAAATAAGATTTTTATGCGTCATTTGTTGATATTTAATGCAGGGTGAAATTTGAGCTGCGTGATACGAAACCCCCCTAATTTTAAACCATTTATATTCGGTGTTTTAAATTCGATCTTTTCTTGTTTGCAATTCTAAGTTATTATAATGGCTGACGAAAGCCAAAGAGGAAGCATAAATGGTCAGGCTAGCAACACGGACGATGCAATTACAAGTTCAAATAATGATAATGGTAACGAACAGCTTACAATATTGATTTATTAAATAGTAACTTAATCAAATAAAATAAATCTTTTTTTTATCAGCTGGGCAACTTCCCTGGTTTTCTCCCATAGCTCCAGGAAATGTAAGGGACAGAACATTGGAAAACGATGTGAATGAGCCTGCTGAAACTACTTCTCTGCTAGGTGCTCGTGAGCCTTCTGTTAATTATAGTCATTTTCCTTCCGCAAGAACTTCGTCCGAGGATGATATCGCTGTTGGGTAGTATTTTATTTTGTTATCGATTAGCAGATATATTCACAATCTGAACGAATTCACTTTAATTAGAATGATTTCTATATTCTATTTTGTTCGTTATTAAGCAATAACTTATTATATATATAAATAGTTTATTTTCGCGTCCTAAGCCTAAACGACCTACTTTTGGTGCGCGAAGACATACTTGGAATCCTTCGCAATTAAAAGCACTCACTGAGCCAATTCGACGATTTAAGAGAAGAAGTGGCGCTTATGATGAAGACAAACAAGCCTTGGTTAGTGAAGGAAGTGGTATTCGTGTTTGGTACGACGATTATACGACAATCGGTAAGATCAATTTATCATCATTTTCTTATTTTCATTCAAGAAAGAATCTCATTTACCCTTGGTTACGTTACGTTTATTCAGATTGGATCCACGATTACGTCAAAGAACGAATTCGTGTACGCAAGCTACACTCAATTAAAGGAATTCGTGGATGGATAATTCAAACATATGACGGTGCACAAGGCTGGATTCTCGTTTTTCTAATAGGTAATTTAATAAATTCGTCTAGAATGTTTCTGAAAGTTTCTCGATTAATTCACCAATCCGAATTTATTTCGTTAACAGGTATCGTAACAGCCTGTTTCGCCGCTAGTGTCGACATCGCGGCAGAATGGGGATATGATTTGAAAGAAGGATATTGTACAACTTCCTTTAGATTAAACAGGAATTTCTGTTGTGCACATAAAAATAGTAAATCTTTAGATGTAATTTTTTTTTTGTTGATCTAAATATATAAATGCATATTAAATTGTTATATTTAATAATAGTAAATGGTGAAGAATGTGAAGAATGGAAGTCATGGTCTCAAGCTTTTCAAATAGATAATAATGCTGACATGTTCAATTTTTTTTCTTATGTTTTTGTAGCGGTATGAAAATATACTAAACTGTTATGAATGCTTTATTCAATACTTTGTTAAAAAAAAATATTTTTTTTTTTTTAGTTTCTTTTTGCGACTGGTTCGGTTTTGCTTGTAAAACATAATTCTTTATATGCCACCCCATCATCAAAGAGTTCCACTCAACAAGTTGTAAAACCGAAACGAAAACAATTGAAGCCTTACGCCGCTGGTAGTGGTATTCCCGAAGTCAAAACTATCTTAAGCGGTTTTGTAATTCGTGGATTTCTCGGTATCAGAACTCTTTGGGTCAAAGCATTATCACTGGTATGTAATTAAAACTTTTCACTATTATTTAAGAAAGCTAATTAATTTTAAATTTTCTTCAGGCTATGGTAGTTTCGGCTGGCATGACACTCGGAAAAGAAGGTCCATTTGTTCATATTGCCTGTTGTATTGGTAATATTTTAAGTCGTCTTTTTCATAAATACAACAAAAATGAGGGTAAGCGTAGGGGAATTATATCAGCTGCAGCAGCTGCGGGTGTAAGTGTAGCCTTTGCCGCACCAATTGGAGGTGTTCTATTCTCTTTGGAAGAAGTTAGTTATTATTTCCCAAGTAAAACTCTAAGCAGAAGTTTTTTCTGTGCCATTGTTGCCGCGGTTTCATTAAAGGTAAATATTATTCGAAAGGGATCATTCCGTTTTTTTTTTAAAAATTAAATTAAATAGATATATTATGGTGTATATTAATGTTTGACATTGTTAATATTTATTAATTTAGTTGATAAATCCATTCGGCACAGGAAAAATCGTTATGTTCCAAGTTTCTTATGATAAGGATTGGCATACTTTTGAAATAGTCAGTTTCTTGATTCTTGGAATCTTAGGGGTAATATGAAATTAATTAATTAAGTTTATGCATTTTCTTCCATTTTATATTTTATTAAATTATTGAATTTTTAGGGATTATTCGGTGCATTATTATGTAAATTAATTATCTTATATACAAAATATGTTCGAAATCGATCATGGTTGAAAAAATGGCCGGTAGTTGAAGTAATGATGGTTGTTATAATCACCGCGTCTGTAAATTATTGGAATAGATATACCAAGATGTCAAGCACGGATTTAGTGTATGATTTGTTTAGCGAATGTAAAGGTGAAAATGATCACAAAGGATTATGCGTGTGCGTTATTTATAACTCTCTCCCCAGACATTATATTTATATAAATACTAAATCTATTAATCCCTTTCATGTTGCAGAAACTCACCCGAGGAGATGTTTGATGTATTCTGTTTACTTGGACTCGCACTAATTTCAAAATTTCTTACATGTGTATTTACGTTTGGAGTAAGAACACCTGCTGGAATTTTTATTCCTTCCTTACTTATTGGAGCATGTTTTGGAAGAATGCTTGGAATCGCCATACAGTACCTAACTATGTAAGTATAAAGAAATCAACATGCATTAATGAATCATAATCAGTAATATATTTTTCTTAAATGAAAATTAATAGGACACATCCGGATTTTCCCATATTTGCAGCAGTATGTAATCAAAATAAAGATAACGATTGTGTGATACCAGGTGTATATGCAATGGTTGGAGCAGCAGCTTCATTAGCTGGAGTTACAAGAATGACAGTTTCTTTAACTGTTATTATGTTTGAATTAACCGGTGCTTTAACTTATGTTTTGGTAAGATATATAAGTACCCCTTTTTAAAAAAAAAAGACATTAATTTAATTATTATTTTTTTCTTGCTCTTTAAAACATAATAAATTATAGCCAATTATGACAGCTATAATAATATCAAAATGGGTAGCAGATGGAATAGTAAAGCATGGTATTTATGAACTATTGATAGATTTAGTTGGTCATCCGTTTTTAAATTCCAATGAAGAATATGTTGAAGCTACCACTACATTAGAGTTATGTCAGAGAGATTTAGAAGTTATTGATGTTAAAGATCCGAATACTATTGGTGAACTTAAGGTTAAGCTGAAAGTATTAGGCAAGTGTTATTTCCTTCATAGCATATGCGTGTATATATATTTATATATACTTGGTTATTTATGATTTGTAATATTTAGCTATGTCAGGATATTCGGATGCAGGATTTCCTATTGTAGATGATTCCATATTAGTTGGATATATAGCGTCAACTGAGCTAGAACATGCAATAAACTCGTTGCATAGTTCAGATGATACAATACGATGTTGTTTTAAAGAACCTCCTTTTGATTCAGAATCTGTTAATTTTACAGTTTACACTGATCAGGTAATAGCTCTGAATTAATAAACAGCATTTTTTATTATATTTTATACATAAATATCTAACCGATTTACTTCGTAGGCTCCATTAACAGTTTCGCAAAATGCTTCATTAGAAGTTGTATTGGAGATGTTTAAGAAGTTGGGATTAAGATATATTATTGTAGTAAATTGTGGACAATACGTTGGTGTTATACATAAAAAGAGGTTGTTGGGGTATTTAAGGCAGTTGGAAGGTAAAAAAGATGATGATTTTATTCGAGAATAGGTATTAAGGTAGTTTCTCAAAGCTTTCTTGCAGACTGGAAGATGATTACTGAAATGATTAGAGTGCGAAGGCGAATTGAAATATTTTTTTTTATTTATTTATTATATTATTAACGAATAAATTATGAGTTATTTAATTTTATTCTTGTAAATTGTTGCGCGTAAATATGAAAGAATGTAATGATTCATAAATAGATTTATTTATTTTTTATTTGTCTTCCTAATTTAAAATTTACAAATCACTAATTTTTATAATAAGTTTACCAAAATTTTTACCATTAAACATATCCAAGAAAGCTTGAGGAGCATTTTCGATGCCATTAACGACATATTCTTTATATTTTAATTTACCTTCTTTCAACCATTGTACCATATCCTTTTGGAATGATTCATAATATTCTTTATAATGGTCAAATACAATAAATCCATGAACTATAATTCTTCTAGGTATAATTAATCCAAGATTTTTAATACCATATGATGTTGATTTTGCATTATTATATTGAGAAATCATTCCACACGCAATTACGCGGGCGTTTATGTTTAAATGTGTTAAAACTATATCAAGTGTTTCACCTCTACAAGAAGTTTGATTATTAAAATAATTTTTTTATAATAATAATATTACGTAAGGGAGTTTGATTGACTTACCCAAAATTATCAAAATAAATATCAATTCCTTCGGGACAAGTTTCTTTTAAAGTTTGATCAATATCAACTTTTTTATAATTAAAGGCATGATCAAATTTTAATTCATTCAAAATATAATCGACTTTACTATCATCACCAGTTGACCCAACAACTTTTAATCCTTTAATTTTGGCAATTTGTCCCACAACTTGTCCAACAGCTCCAGCAGCAGTCTGTGTAATTTAGAAAGGTGATTTTATATTTATATTTTTAATATAAAATATGAAAATAAGTTGGACTTACCGAGATAAAAATAGTTTCTCCTTGTTTTGGTTTACCAATCATAAATAAACCAACATAAGCGGTCATACCTGGCATACCCAATAATCCAAGAAAATAACTAAGTGATATATCATTGTCTAATGCATCTTTAAGAGCTTGTTTATATAATAACGCGTTTTTCGCTGCTGCGGGAGAAACTTTGGTATATTCTTCCCATCCTATATAAAAATTTAAAGCATTTAATCAAAACGTCTCGTCTCATTCTGATTGCGTATAGTTTGGAAAAAAAAGCTGTTACATACCGATATAACCTGAGAATAAGTCACCTTTTTTCCATTGATCATTATTACTAGCAATTACAACACCAACACCACCAGCCTCCATGACCTTTCCCACGGAGAATGCGTTTATATAATTTTTTTCATTTTTTTCACTGACTCTCATTCTACCACGCATATACGGATCAAGTGACAGATAAACGTTTTTGATAAGAATTTCGCCTTTTTCCAATACGGTGGAGGAAATGTTGATCTTGCGTTCGATAAATTTAAAGTGTTCATTAATAACTGGTAAATCTTCAGGTACTTTGACGAAAATCACACCATTATTTGATTCTTCTGTGGACATCTTTGATCAAAATTTTTGTAATTAATTTTTAGGACGCTAATTTTTTTAGAAAAATTCCATTTTTATAACAAAAAGTTCCTGCGTATACATGAGACAATCCTATCGCTAATGTTCCCATTGAAAAGATTCTAATGGTATAGTAGTTATTATATCAGCTTTACATATACAGTGGCGCTCAAAAATATTGCATCATTAACTTGTGACAAGAAATATGACTTATCTATTCAATAGTATGAAATCGTTTGCATACATCGGATCCCAATTCAACCCAAATTTTTATGAATTGCATCCCATAATTGATCATAATTGATCCTGACGACGATCCATTTCATTCCAAGGTGTTTTATGGGATTTAAACCGTTGCTTTATAAGATGTGTAGTGTGATTAAGATCATTATCCTGTTGAAAAATAATATTATCCTTAACCATTCCATGCCACATTGGGGTGTTCCATCAACTATGTAAATCAAAACTTACGTAAAGTATCATATGAAAATTTATCATTTTAATTTCTACCGGTTATTGGATAAATTGGAAAAATTTC